AGATTAATGAACAGATAAATGCCACCAACTGTGAACACATTGTGAGCTATATATGCATCCTATTATCATAGCTTTACAAAACTGTTGTGATCAAACTTCACATAACATCTCCTAAATAAATTGTCTACTAGGAATGAAGCACATGATACACCACTTTGGGAATGAAGCACACGGACAGGAAATGATCAAAGCCTCTAATAGCTTTGTTTTGAAATGCAAATAATAAAGTCATTTCCCCAACTGTAAAGATCAAAGCCACGATTTGATGGAACTAGCAACCAAGAATTCCAGAAAATTAGCCACATCAAACTAGCTAATTGCAATGAAACAGAGAGAACCAAGCTTCAGAACAACAGGGAGAACCAAGCCACATCAAACTACCTAATTTCCTATTTTCAATTTTCGGATCTGTAAAGCTCAATTACCTATTTCCAATTTTCAGAACAACTCAAACCAAAATGTATTGCAAGGCATATAGAACCGAAACTTGGCATATAGAACAACAAGGAGAACCAATTTCAGAACAACAGGGAGAACCAATTTTCAGAACAACTCCAATTTTCAGAACAACTGTAAACCAAAATCCCAAAGAAAGAGTGCGATATATAGAAGATCTATTTCCAGAGCACTGTAATATGTGATCTATTTCCAGAGCAAGATCTAAAAATCCCTAAATGTAAGAGCTAAAAATCCCAAAAAAACAAAACGTCAGGGCATAAAAACCAGAGATCTATGGAGAACATTTCTAGAACATATAAAAGAACAAAAGCTTTGTAGTTGCCTTGTAGGCCTAAAAAGAAATCACAAGAATACCAAATACAACGTTCGAGCCGCATAAACGAACCAGAGAAGATCAAAGGAGATGCGGGGAAGAAGTACAAACAGAATTTTACGCACGAGAAGATCGGTAAAGGAGATCGCGGGGAAGAGCGCGAGAGATCCACAGGGGCACAGGAGGGAAATAAGCCCTAGCCAACGCCGAACGGAACCCCTACCCCGCGTTCGATGGAACGAATAATATCGCATCCGCGATTACAGGTGATTTGAAAACGCAGCCCTAAACGCCGAAACCGGGTTTTTAAAACCGCGGCGGCGGCGTTTTCAAACCGCCGCCGCAACAAAATAATCTGCCCCAAACGGGCCCTTAGTTTGCACACAAAATAGGAACCACACCAGCTTCCCTGTTTTGAAGACGATGTGAAATTCCGCTCCTCACACTCACCCCATCTCTCTCTATCTTTCACAATAAGTGGAGAACCCAACTTTTCATCTTCTTCATCTCTCCCAATTGCTTGACAGCGCTAGTAATTGCTACACATCGCCCCTTTGTAGCACTGAAAGGTCACGCGAAACCTCCCTTCCCCTTTTCATGGTCATCTTCTCATGATACAATCACAATTAGAGTAAGTAGCAACTGGATGCAGCATACAAAAAATCCTGAAACTTACATCTTTCTTTTCTTTTGCGCTCGGGAAAGGTAACGACTAGATCACTTGGCACAAAGACCTTTGAAACTCCTTTGCTTCTCAATTTCTTGTAACTAGTACTAGTTGTGAAGATAACGACGAGATC